ACAGGGATGAGTTAGGTGAGATGAGTGGCTAAGAGCGAGCACTGCAGTGACCGAACGGCAACCGACAAGAGCACCTCCCGGCACGCGCGCGCGGACGGCATTACAGTCGACAGCAGCTACGCACGAGTTTTAAAGCCAACGAAAAACTGCTAACGATCACGATTGAGGTTGAACTAATTACACGACTCTAAAGTTGATCTTATCAGCTATCTAACGGAGCAATCCGCACAACAAAAGGACCACCCGAGAGGAAGATACTTGCGTGCCAAGATGAGTTCGTCTTCGAAGTTCCAGTTCGCGATAGAGCGTTGACACAGAGATCGTAGCGCGTTCTAATAAACTTAGGCAAAATTTTTCGAGATCCACGTGACCCTCAACACGACTATAACCTACACCATTCTCGAGTGCTCACCTTAGGACAACCAATAGTGCAAAAACACGGATCTAGTGTTTAAGAAATTTAATCAAAATTTAAATGCCAAAACGACATCATCATTAGATTTTTAGGCTAAATCATTTTAGTTCTAGAGGCTGAAATTAAATTTCGACTTCAATCCTCGATCTATCAAAATACTATCGAACGACATTTATTTACCGAAACAAAAGTTACTTTTTCATCTATTAAACTTGCGCTCTAAATTTTATTCAAGTACTAAATACAGTTATATTTTATTTTGTTTATAAAAATTGCTTCTGTGTCAATATTTAGAACTACTTATTCTACTCTTCACGTTATGATTTTTTATTAACACATATAGGCATTTACGTAACCAACCCACTATATTTATAGATTTATCTCTCAAGCCATAATCTTAGTTCTTAGCGAGCTCGTAACACCAGAGGTGTTACAGCTCCCTCTCATCCTTTATGCACTTGACTTGATTGAAGTCCCTTGTCTTTCTATCGCTAGCCTTACCATCCTATAAATGTCCTTCTCTCATTCCTTCGTACTCAAACGTCGGTAAAGGTCATCATAAGCCCGTCCCTTTGCCCCACTCACCGCTCGTTTTGCAGTCTTCTTTGCCACCTTGTACTTCTCTTTGCACACCTGTCGTGATACATCTCCACACATGTCATATATAGGCAGTGGCGGATCCAGTGGGTGGTCTGGGTGGTCCACCGACCACCCTGTGGCCCGCCCGTCAGTCAAACATAATAGAAAAAATGAAAAAAACAAGCACTTCTTAGTACGTGAGTGCGGCGTCCGTTCATAGTACGTGAGTGCGGCGTCCGTTCGACGTTCGTAGTACGTGAGTGCGGCGTAAATGCGCGCTCGTGCTTGATGGACCGGCCTAGCTCGTAGGGGGAGTTGGATCGGCAGATGTCGAACTGTCCAGGGAGGCTAGGACTCGGGAGGGAGTCGGATCGCCAGACTCCCCTAGCGGCCGCGGAGCGTTCTCGCCGCGAGCCTATTGCGGACGCCGCCATCGCCCTTCGGCCTTCGCGGATCGGCATTGCGGCACCAGGCAGCCGATCGGCGATCAGGTGACAGGTGATCCTCGTTCCTCCCCGTCCATCTCCAGTTCTCCAGTCTCCACCCTTCCTCAGTTCCAGGCGTCCGTTCATTAGTTTTGCTAATTGGTGAGTTTTTTTTAAAAATTTTCAGAACTCTTGAATAGTTGAATTATGAAGAGAAACGGAGACATTCGATCGCTTTTCAGAATGCAGCAAAGAAGGCGGCTGCTGTTGCTTTGAACCCTGAGCCACCTCCGGCTCTGGATCAAAGTATTGTGGAAGAGCACAATCAAGAAGAAGATAGAGTACAAGTTGAAGAAATTGCAGATCTTGCCCTCGCCCCCGCTAGCATCACCGCCACCCCCCACATCAAAGCCGCCGGTGTATGACATCAATCGCCTTCCATATGATCTAGGTGAAAGGCTACCCATTGAAAATTATCATGTTAATGATCAAGATGCAATCCGTAGAGCATATATTACTAAAGGTGCTTGCAAACCTTATATACATGATTTTCCATACCGAAACATTGGAGGTGTACCTCGTCGATTCAGTATACAATGGTTGTATAATTATGAGTGGCTTGAATATAGTGTCAAGAAGGATTCTGCATTTTGCTTCATATGCTACTTGTTCAAGAAGGGCAGTGGGTCAAATACTTTTGTGGTTGATGGATGGAATAATTGGAATATAGGAAACACAGCACTTCTTAAACATTGTGGTTCTAGGGCACATAAAGCAACTCAAGAGAGGTACATTGGTTTTATTAATCTCAAGGTTGCAATTGATTATCACATTGACAAGTGGAGTGAGGAGGAGCTTCGTCTTTACAAAAAAAGATTGACATATTCACTTAGATGTATCAAGTTTCTTTTGCATCAAGGATTGGCATTCCGTGAACATGATGAAAGTGAAGAGTCTAGCAATAGAGGCAACTTCATTGAACTTTTGAAGTTTCTTGCAGGAAATAGTGAAGAAGTGAACAAGTATGTCTTGAACAATGCACCAGGTAATTGCACTTTGACTAGCCCAAACATACAAAAGGAAAATATTCATTGTTGTGCCATAGAAACTAGAAAGAAAATAATTGGAGAACTTGGTGATGAGCCCTATGCAATTCTAGCTGATGAGTCTAGTGATATATCACATAAAGAACAACTAGCTCTTTGCTTGTGTTATGTTGATAAACTTGGAAGGCCATGTGAGCACTTCATTGGAGTTGTTCATGTAGATGATACTACCTCTTTGTCACTTAAGAAAGCAATTGAAGGTTTACTTGTTATTAATGGATTGAGTCTGCAGCAGATTAGAGGCCAAGGTTATGATGGGGCTAGCAATATGAAAGGAGAAATTAAAGGGCTCAAAACTTTAATCATGCAAGAATCACCTTCTGCTTATTATATTCATTGGTTTGCACATCAACTCCAACTAGTTCTTGTCGTTGTTGCCAAGGGAAATACTGACCGCAAGATTTTTTTTGATCAAGTATCTATCTTGTTGAACATTGTTGGGGTTTCTTGCAAGCATCATGATATGCTTCGAAATGCAATGCTTGAGAATGTTAAGAAAGCACTAGAGTGTGGTGAGCTTGAAACAGGGAGGGGATTAAATCATGAGATGGGTTTGCCTAGGCCTGGTGACACTCGGTAGGGCTCTCATTACAAAACTATATGTAGCATCATCACTATATATTCCTCAATCCATGATGTGCTCATTGAACTTGGTGCTGATATTGCATATAAGGAAGATTGGACAAAGATACATTTTGTGCTTGGAGCATTTGAAACCTTTGAGTTTGTTTTCTTTGTGCACTTAATGTATGTTATTCTTGGATACACAAATGAGTTATCCGAGTGCTTGCAGAGAAGGGATCAAGATATTTTTAATGCAACCTCACTTGTTAATGTGGCCAAGAGCAGAATGCAGGAGTTGAGGTCTGATGGTTGGGATAATTTTCTTTAGAAGGTCACTTCTTTTTGTATTAAACATGGTGTTGAAGTTCCTGCTATGGATGGTGCTTATGTGCCTTATGGAAAATCACCGCGGTATGCCCGTGCCCGAAACTAAACAAATGATGACCATTTCAGAAGAGAAGTATACATTGGTGTCATTGATCAAATTAGTCAAGAGCTTGATAATCGGTTTGATGAGATCAATATGGAGCTACTCTCTTGTATGGCAGCCTTCAGTCCTTCCAACTCCTTTGCTTCTTTTGATGCACGGAAGGTACGTAGATTGGCTGAATTTTATCCTAAGGACTTCTCCAACAATGATTTGTTAAAACTTGAATTGCAACTTGATAATTATATTGATGACATGTGACAAGATGCTAGCTTCTAAGGTCTAGACAACATTGTTGATCTCACAGTTAAGCTTGTTGAAACAAAGAGGCACAAAGTGTATGATATGGTGTACTTGCTTCTCAAATTGATATTGCTTTTACCGGTGGCAACTGCGAGTGTTGAAAGGGTATTTTCTGCATTGGTTATAGTGAAAACAAAGACAAGGAATAAGATAGGTGATACTATTTTGGATGATTGTCTAGTCACATTTATTGAGCAGGATATTTTCTTCTAAGTTGATGAAAATGATATAATTGAGACATTCATGTCATTGAGAAAGCGGCGGATAAACAAGTAATATTATAAGTCTCTCCTGTTGCTATATTTTGAAGTATTTATATTTCATTTGAACAATTTATATCAAGATTTGACGTCGTTCGTAGCTTAATATTTGAATTTAAATCTTATTATGTTATTTAATGTAACTGGTTTTAAGGAATTGTAATATGGTTTTACCGAATTGTAAATGGTTTACCAAATTGTATTAGAAATTTTTTTGCGGCGCATACCCAGAGGTAAAATCCTAGGTCCACCACTGTATATAGGAGTATATTTTATAAAAACAAAGCCACGTGACCAATATTGAGTTACTGACTCCTTCATGGTAGAGAACTTAACATTTGGACCATGCGGAGCTTTGCACTGCACAAATATGAAATATGTTCAAGAGAGTTTTGGTTAGCTTGTCAAAGATGCGTCAGGTATCCCTTCAAAAAATAAAAAAAAAATAAAAAGAAAAGAAGGATGCGTCAAGTATGCGTCCAATTCGAAGCGTTTTGGTTTTCACATGATGCCGGTCTTGCCGGCCACTTGCTCAAGTACACGTCACCTTGTTCCTTTGCTCCGCTCCATTTTCTAACGGGGAAAGTAGTGAAGTTTTTTTTTAATAAAAACACAACAATGCCATTCCTCTTTTTGAGAACACGATACTTTTTTTCTGTTGATTTGATCCCTCTGCCTGAAACAAGATACGTATACTATTACGTACTAGTGTGCTCTACGGCAAACCAGGCTTCTGAGCGAGCCTGTGACCCTCGTAGGTTGTTGTCACTCATTACTGCTCGGTCGGACTGACTGTTCTCACGTACACGTACTACAGCGACGGCTAGCATTTTCCTCTCCTAACAAAACAGCTGCAGCAACCGGCCCAACACATGTCCAGTCCAGATCTACCGCTGGTCTGCTTGCTGCTAATTAAAAAATCTACTGAAACGTAGCGATGTCATGGAGGAGACCGCCGAAGTCAAAGCGGTCTTGGAGGACGGATTCCCATCCGAAGCAGCCGTCCAGGAACTCCATCACCGGATCAGGAGCAGCCGTGTCGTGCCAGACCTCGGACGACGCCGACGGCGACCACCCGCCCTGCGACATCGAGGCCGGCGAGCCTCTGTTGGTGCCCGCGGACCCCCAGGAGTTGGAGCCGAAGTCGACGACGGCGGGCGCCGCTCCCAGCTGCTGCCACGCGATGGCCGCGCCCTTGCACGTGTGTTCCCCGTAGTAGGCGATCTCGTACGCCGCCGGCTGGTCCTGCGTCTGCTGCACCCGCCGCGTCGCGTTGCATCCCTGGTCCTTGTGCGCGCAGCGGCAGTAGAGCCTGCAGAGGGATTATCAGCACGCATCGGTCAGTCGATTGCCACGACGGAATGGAACGGATTGAGCGCGCTGATGAGCGCCTGAGCCTTCTGAAACTACAAACTAGTGCTACTTGCCTCGGGTGCTTGTGTCCGTTGATGTCCTTCTGCCCGTACTTCCTCCAGATGAAGCCGTCCACCGTCGTGCCGCTGGTCACCTCCTTGGTCGCCTCTGCGCCGCGCGCCCTGTGAAATTGAACGGCAACACTCATCATCGTGCTGCTTTTCGGCTGCCGAACAAATAAACAGAGAAGCCTGTTGTGCAAGAGGGAGGGAGACGGCAACGGCAACGGCAGGCGGCAGCCTCACCTTCTCTTGAGTGGCGGCCCCGGAGGAGGAGGAGACCAGCTGGTGCCTCCTCCCGCTGCTGCTGCGTCTTGGTGGTACTCGGCCGCCGCCGCCGCCTTCCTCTTGCGCCCGCTGGTGGCGGCGGCGGTAGCGCACTGTAGCATTTCGTTTGTATTTGATAATAATTGTCTAATCGTTGACTAATTAGGTTCAAAATGTTCGTCTCGCAAAGTACAACCAAACTGTGCAATTAGTTTTTTATTTTGTCAACATTTAGTACTCCGTGCATGTACCGCAAGTTTGATATGACGGGGAATCTTTTTTTTTTTGCATAGTGCCAAAGTTTGGATTTTGGGGTAACTAAACAAGGTCTAAATTGAAATGTTGTGATAGAAAACACTGTTTCATAACTAAAAAATAATACTGAATATGCTCAAACGAACATGCCGTAGCTCTCTGCCCTGTGGAGCTCAAGAGAATCTAGAGAGCAGATGATTAGACTATGACAAGGTGTATGCACTGATTAACGGCTTGTTCGCCTGATTGTTTCTGTGACTTATAAGCTGGCTAATGCTGTTTTGTTGTGAAAGAAAAATCCTATATCATGACTCGTAAGTACGACGGATACGCCGATGCCGTACAGTGGTTAGCACCAAAACGTGTTGCGCCCTTGTTTATACCACAATTATTATTATATTTATAATACGCGCGCAGGACGGAGCCTGGGGGGGGAGGGCGGGGCGGCTGAATGCCTGAATGAAGCGCTTGCTACACGTCACGTACTCACATTGGTTCAGTTGAGCTGTCCAGTGTGAACATATGCCTCCCTCTCTAGTCACGGTAACTGCCAAGCTCTTGTATATTCTACAGTGATTAGTGTACTAATATACATCGGTCTCTAGAGTATCGCTCGAATATGATTTGATTTCCGCTTGATTACGCGATGGATCGGCCCCGGCCCCCATGTGCCGAACGCGTGGTCAGCGGTTCCGCGGTCGCTGCCGTGGCATCATACTTAGGGTGTTTGTTCTCTAGTCAGAAGTTCATGTCACATCGAATGTTTAGTAATAAGGAGTATTAAATATAGATTAATTACAAAACCAATTATATAGATAGAGGCTAATTTGCGAGAGGATTTTTTAAGCCTAATTAATCTGTTATTAGCACATGTTTACTGTATCACCACGTCCTCAAATCATGATTTATATTTAATACTCCATGCATACATGTGTCAAACATTCGATCTGACAGGAATTTTTTGAGCGCCTAAGGATCGCCCTAGCTCCATCGCTAGTGTGATTAATGACACGCCGAGCGAGCTTGCGAGCGCAAGCAATGCCCCGTGTGTGTGTGTGTCGGTGTGCGTACGCGAGATTCCGAACCGAGCGAGGCAGAAATAGAAAACGGCAAGTGCCCCAGGGGGCCCGCCGGGCCGGACGAGCGAGGTTAACATGCATGAACTGATGCACGGTTCCGATACTAAATGATCCCATCAAGCAGCTCTCTGCCGAAGGCTCGGTATCAAGCGTAACTCCGGCGATCCGTCTCGAGTTCAATGTACCCTCTGTGGTAGGCGAAAAGCCACGTATATTTGTAGCCCTAACATAAAAAGTTAAAAACCAAATTAAGCCAAAAAAGAAGGGTTCGCCGTAGCCGTGTAGTTATCCGGATATGAACCAACACTGCATTTCCTAAAGCAGCGCGGAACGGAAATGATCATCATTTTTAAGACAGGTTGCCGTTTGCACGACAGGATCCAAATTTATATAGGCTTAATCAACGGCTGACTGGCCCGGGACGTGAGAACACTGAGTATACAGTCTTCTGAGAATCTAACATACTATATTACGGGGACTCTCATATATGCTTTGAGTAGAGTAGCGTGATTAGGTTCCACGTACAGCACAGGTGGGGTGATCGGTTAGGGCCACGCTTTCTCACTTGACTTCCCAACATGCTCTTTGAGTGCTACTGCTACTGTGCTTGATCGGTTAGGGCCACGTTTTCTCACTTGACTTCTCAACATGCCCCGTTTGCTTGGCTGATAAGACAAGGATAAAAGTACTATTGGCTGATTTATTGTGAGAGAAAAATACTGTTCGTTTGCTGAAAAAGTACGGCTTATGAGCCAAGCGAACAGGACTGGACATCATGTGTTACGATTACGTCGACGATGCCGATTATGATCATACGATGTCTTTATATTCCTTATTATTATATAATATTAATGGTGCAATTAGTTTGGTTAGCTCAAGGGGATGGGCATCAGCATGGAAATATGACAACAAGGTGGAAGGCTGCTAGGTGCTAGGTGAGGGTTATTCGAGGGACAAGTTTCATCTTTTTGGGCTCTACTAATTGAAAGAAGTAGATGAGCAGAGCCAAGAAAACTTAAGAGGAGGTATGCATGCAAGTTTAACATAATGTTCTATACCCATACCTACTAAAGCCTGATTAAGGATGATATTGTGATAGATGTGGTGCACGGTTCGTTACAAGATACCACCCCCGAAACCCAAACAATTGCTCCCTCTGACCCGAAATAAATGAATTTGTGGAGAAATTAGCATCACTAGATACACCGTGAGATATATTTTTATAATCTACTTATATGGTGTCATAGATGTTCTTATTCTTCACTATAAAGTTGGTCAAACTTAAGATAGTTTTGACTTAGAATGACTCTAGAAGTTGATTTGTTTTGGGACTAAGGGAATATGTAGTTTTGTCTTTGCAAACATCGTCCTTTGTTGTGTTGATTTTTGAAAATATCAGCTAGTGGATTATTTTAATCTGAACTTGAGCTAACACCGAAAGGAACGCTAGCTTTACTTGATCTAAACTATGACCCCTAGCACAGTCTGTTTTTCTTCCATCGAGGCAATCCTTTGACCTAGAGAGTTGCCGCGCTAGGTTTTCAATCCAACTTGCCCAGATGGTAAGACCAGCTTGTTATAGAACGTTCCAATTGAAATTCCTGCATGTGAAACAAAACAGTAGTTAATTGCACGCGTACATAAATTACTGCATTCAAAACGCTTAATTCTACAGAAATGCTATACAACACACATGTGTTTTAGCAAAAAAAAAACACATGTATTTTTTTCTCTCTTCTTCCCTCTCTTTTCAACTCTCTTCTCGGCCTATACACGTATACGCGTGCACTCCCGCAGCGGCGTAACCAACTTGGCTCACACGGAGGACGAGCGCGCCAGCCAGCCGAAGCGCCTCCCGTCCTATACGCTTATACGCATGCGGCCGGAGGACCGCCCGTACGACGCCCGATATGTCCTTTTGTTCTTGCATAGAAAAATATTGTTTCTTGTGATTTGTGGATATATGGATCTATTTGAACGACTAGACGATCAAGGTCCGGGCCGGGCAAGAAATTTGTTCGTCGTCTATATATGTTCGTGTTTTGACCAAAATATAGGTCGGCAAGTTAGAGACATACTCATAGCTATAAACAATCGGAGACGTACGCCGACCTGGGAGAAATTCTCTCTTCCATTACTGACGACGGGCGACCAGGTGTGTTAGGAATTGACACATAGTTTCCTCCAGGAAATGAAGCACGCACGTACGGTTGCCGTCAGCTATGCCCTGTTCGTTTGGCTGATAAGCCATGGCTGAAAGTATTATTGGTTGATTTATTGTGAGAGAAAAATAATACAGCTTATAAATTATACGAACGTGGCCTAGGTTGGCGAGTCAAAGGCCCCAAGGGCAAGGCTGAATCAGAGCGCTGCTCGCTACTTGCATTTGCGCAGTCTTACGCGGTGATTCAGCGAGACCTCCAGTGATTGGCTGTGCCTAATCAGCTCATTAGCTTTCATATCTCACGTACACGCGCATCAGTCAACCGGCCGGCAGAAAGTAGAAACTCACAGTTTGCAGTTACTAGTACTAAGAAAGCAAGCAAGCCACGCAGCTCATCTAAAGGAAAAAAAGTATAGTTGTTTAATTTCCCTTTTTCATGCTAGGTCTTCGCCCCCTTTGAATCGGTCCGGAAGCACTCCAAAAGGGTGCCAGGCAGCTCCATCAAGCCGACTGCATACACATACATATGGATGAGCTGAGATCGAACTGTAGCCTGTAATCAAGCTGCTGTGCGTGGTGCTGTTAATGGAGACATGCATGTGTCGTGGAGGCAGACAGGCATATCCCATGCGCGAGTGCAGATAGAACTGCGACTGTTTTAGTAACACGGGATAAATGTCTGTGTTCCGGCGAAAGCGAGCTAGGAGGAGGCCGATTGATCATGAATAATAGCCGCAACAGCAACAGCAGCAGAAGAAAGCTGTACATGGACAGGACAGGCTTGTTGCCCTGGATAGCCACCGTACCGATATCTCCATCAGAAACAAGGGAAAGGAAACTTCTACCCACCACGGACGTGATCAAGAGCGCTGCTGGCCGCAGCAGTACAGTGATTGGTGGTCAATCATGCAGTGGCGAACAGGAAAACGTGTCGCGATAATACACTACAAAACCGGGTGAGCCTATTAGAGATCGGCCGAGTGACTGGACCCTGCATCACGGCTACTAACCTTTTCGGTCGCACGTGTAGCACGATTGGTGGGGTTCAACGACGGGCCGGGTGGGGTTCGTCGAATGATTTCAAATGAAAAAATTATAAACTACAAAGTTGCATAAATTTTTGAGATCTACAATTTTTATTTTGGTCGTTTATCTATTTAAGGTCGTTTGAAAATTTTGAATTTCAAATGTGAGAAATTCAAACGTAATTTTAATTTTCATGCATAGATGATTTCAAATGAAAAAGTTGTCAACTATAAAGTTGCATAACCTTTTGAGGTATACAACTTTCATTTGGTCGTTTCTCCATCCGAGGTCATTTGAAAATTTTGAATTTACTACGTAGCTCCTATTTTAAGAGGCGACTAAAATCAATTTTTAGAGGCAG